GATCGCATGACCTCGATTCCCAGCCTGAACGGTCACCTCCCCATCTAAGTTCTAGAGCTAAAGAGTTCAGCTCATCTGTTACAACAGACTTAGCTAAGTATTTGATACGTAGAGAACTGGTAAGCTCTGGGCTACTGAAGTTTGACGATAAGCCTGAAAACTACTGGGCCTGGAAGGCGTCTTTCCTCAGTGCCACCGAAGACCTGAACTTGTCAACAAGAGAAGAGCTTGATCTTCTCTGTAAATGGCTAGGACCAGGATCATCAGAGCAAGCAAAAAGGATCAGAGCTGTGCACATTAGTGATGCATCAACGGGTGTCAACATGGTGTGGCAAAGACTGCAAGACTGTTATGGGTCACCCGAGATAATAGAAAATGCCCTTTTAAAAAAGGTTGATGATTTCCAAAAGATGACAAACAGAGAGAATCACAGGCTGAGAGAACTGGGGGACATCCTGATGGAGATTGATGCAGCTCGCACCGATGGATTCCTTTTGGGTCTTAATTACCTAGACACATCCCGGGGCATCAATCCTATTGTTCAGAAACTTCCATACCACCTACATGACAGATGGATCTCTTTGGCTTCACGTTATAAAGATGAGCATCGTACAGCTTACCCACCTTTCTCCATCTTTGTCAAGTTTGTATGCGACCAAGCCAAAACGCTCAACGATCCAAGCTTCACGCCTCTACTATCTGGTGGTCCTAACATGCCTAAAATGGAAAAACCTAATTTCAAGAACCCAGTATCTGTCAGGAAAACCAAAATCTCAACTGATTTGGACTTCCACCCAACCCTCGCAGATAAAAGGGTGATTGACCCAGAAAAACAATGTCCATTACACAACAAACCAGATTCCCTTATGAAATGTCGTGGTTTTAGGAGCAAACCTTTGCAGGACAGGAACGCTTTTCTCAAAGACAAGAATATTTGCTATAAATGCTGTTCTTCATCTAGCCATAAGGCTAGATAATGTGACCTGACTGTGCATTGTAGAGAATGCAATAGTAGCCAACATCCTACAGCATTGCATCCAGGACCAGCTCCCTGGAAAACTGCCTTTTCAGCACCCATGGAAGCTCAGGGCGGGGAGCAATTAGAGAGCCCCCCTCTAGCGGTAACAACAAAATGCTCTAGTGTTTGTGGAAGTTTGAATAGTTCGAGGTCCTGCTCAAAGATCTGTCTGGTAAAAATCTATCCATCTGGACAGAGAGAAAGGGCTATTAAGACCTACGCAGTCTTTGATGAACAAAGCAATAAGTCATTGCCGAAAACCAAATTCTTTGAGTTCTTTTGCATTAAGTCAGATCCGACAGTATATACTCTTAAAACTTGCTCAGGTATGTTTGAGACAACAGGTTGGCGTGCAAACAATTTTCTTGTAGAGTCACTAGACGGAAAAACCAGGATTCCTCTTCCCTCATTGATCGAGTGCGACATGCTTCCGGATGATAGATCCGAAATTCCGACCCCTGAGGTTGCAAGACATTATACACATCTGAAATGTATAGAAGATAAGATCCCGGCTCTAGACCCCAATGCAGCCATTCTTATCCTTCTTGGTCGAGACATATCAAGGGTGCACAAGGTCAGAGAATACTCTAATGGGCCCCACGATGCTCCATTTGCCCAACGCCTGGACTTAGGTTGGGTTATAGTAGGAGAAGTTTGCTTGGGAGGAGCTCACTTGCCAACTAATGTCTGTGTCTACAGGACTTCAGTGCTGGCTAATGGCCATACAACTCTGTTGGATCCCTGTAAAAATAGTATCTACATCAAAGAGAAAGTCAACAGAGCAGCAATAAGTAGTGATTCCCCAAGCATTGTGGAGATTAAGGATTGTGATGAAGCCGACAGTCTCAGCAAACAGTTGTTCCAGAGGACACCACATGATGACAAACCTGGGATGTCTATAGATGATGAAGCCTTTCTTGAAATTATGGATGAGGGAGTTTTTGAGGATGACTCAAATAGCTGGGTAGCTCCTTTACCCTTTAGGAAAGCAAGGCAGAGGCTTCCCAATAATCGGGATCAAGCAATCAAACGCTTTGAATCATCGCGCCGTATGCTTGAAAAAAGACGGAACATGAAAGAGCATTTCTTCAACTTCATGAAGAAAATCTTTGAGTCAGGTCATGCAGAACCAGCCCCTCCGCTTAACAAGGATCAAGAGTGTTGGTACTTACCAATTTTTGGTGTTTACCATCCTCGGAAGCCAGGTCAAATACGAGTAGTATTTGATTCTATTGCCAGTCATAAAGGCACCTCTCTGAACGGTGTCTTGTTGAGCGGCCCGGATTTGAACAATACCCTCCTCGAGGTCCTTCTCCGTTTCCGTAAAGGACCTGTGGCAGTAACAGCAGACATAGAACGAATGTTCTATTGTTTTGTCGTTCGAGAAGACCACCGTGACTTTTTGCGTTTCTTTTGGTTTAAAGACAATGACCCTAACAGAACCATCAAAGAGTATTGAATGACTGTGCATGTGTTTGGCAATAGCCCATCTCCGGCCATCGCCATATACGGCTTAAGGAGAGCCGCTTGGAAAGGACAAGAGGAACATGGTGAGGAAGCAACACAGTTCATTTTAAGGAACTTCTATGTCGATGATGGACTTGCCTCATTTCCTACTGATGCTGAAGCTATTCACACCCTGCAAAACACAAGGCAAATGTTAGCAGACTCGAATATCCATCTTCATAAAATAGCTTCTAATAGTCCCACAATTATGGAAGCTTTTCCAGCAGAGGAACGTGCTACAGACCTGAAAGATCTGGACCTCGGTACAGAACCTCTGCCTTTGCAACGGAGCTTTGGACTCATTTGGGACTTGCATGGGGACAGCTTGTCTTAAAGGAAGAAAAACCATTCACAAAGACAGGTGTTCTTTCAACTGTCAATAGCCTATATGACCCTCTAGGGTTCGCAGCACCAATTACAATGCAAGGCAAGGCCCTTATTAGAGAATTGTGTTCAGAAAGCTGTGACTGGGATGCACCTTTACCAGCCGAAAAAGAGGCTAAGTGGAGATCATGGAAAACTTCATTAGCGGATCTTGAAAAGCTACAGATTCCCCGACAGTACTTCCGCACCTCTTTGAAGTCTTCAAGTCTGAGAGAACTGTGCATCTTTGCAGATGCTTCCATCCTGGCGATAGCTACTGTGGCCTACCTCAGAACACAGGATAATGAAGGATGTGTTCATGTGGGATTCTGCATGGGAAAGTCCAAATTAGCTCCACGACAACTGGAGTTATGTGCTGCCGTTTTGGCAGTCGAGCTGGTTGACACGCTACTGGAGGAGCTCGACATAGAAGTCCATAAAGTTAAGTACTACACTGACAGCAGAGTCGTGTTAGGATACATTAACAACACTAGCAGAAGATTTTATGTATACGTCACCAACAGAGTAGCACATGTTAGGAAATCATCACATCCCAGTCAGTGGCATTTCGTTGACACGNGAGCTGGTTGACACGCTACTGGAGGAGCTCGACATAGAAGTCCATAAAGTTAAGTACTACACTGACAGCAGAGTCGTGTTAGGATACATTAACAACACTAGCAGAAGATTTTATGTATACGTCACCAACAGAGTAGCACATGTTAGGAAATCATCACATCCCAGTCAGTGGCATTTCGTTGACACGAAACACAATCCTGCTGGTCATGGTACGAGACCTATACCAGCAGCATCGCTAGCTACTAGTAGCTGGTTGTACGGACCGGACTTTTTGAAGAGGAGAGATGAAGATGTTACACCGCAGCCAGAGTGCTTTGAGCTTGTGGAGCCAGCATCAGATGCCGAAGTGCGACCACTTGTGGCAACATTTGCTACAACAGCTGTTAGAACATCGCTTGGTTCACACAGGTTTGAACAGCACACACAACCAGCATTACAACACATGCCCAGAAGCAACAGCCGATCAAGACAGTGTGTGTCCGTGAGCACGTGTCCGTGTCAGCACGCTGGTGTTCCTAAGGTTTCTCCATGTAAATGTCTAGTAGTGTGTGTGGGGAGCCACAGCCCCGCCCACCCAGGACATGAAGCCGACATGGAGGAGACCCGGGCCCCAGACATCCAGAGGCCCCCCAGGGCACGGGAACCCCAGGAGGACCACCGCAGGGACAATTGCAGCCCCAATCCCAGAAAAGGGCAGAGGAGCGCTCCGGAGGGGGGCCATCCGGCAGCCACATCGCAGGAGCCCCAGGGGGCCGTGGCGGCGAGCACGCAGGCTCCGGCAGCGGCCGGCCACACCAGAGCAGACCGGACCCCAGGCCCAGAGGTCCAAGGGCCCCCCCACCCCCCAGCCAGGACCCGACAGAGCCGGAAGGACCAGGCCCCGACAGGCAACCGCCGAGAGTGAGCCAGCACACACCAGAGCATCCAGCCCCGGACATCGAGAACCACCAAAGCATCGGCAGCCGGGAGTCCATCACACGCTTCTCCACCAGCAGGGAGTGTGGTGGGGGGGAATAGA